AATAGGGGAGTTTTGCATGCAGGCCTGTGTTTTCTCCCTCTATATCTCACACTTTTCCCATGAATCAAGTATACATGGTTTAGAAGTTCCACTTGAAAGTCTTTGCAGTCCTTCTGTAATTGTTGTTTCCTGATCAATGTGGACTTGAACACAGAGAAGCTTGATCCCATGAAGGGGCTGGAGTGAAAGACCTTGAGAAGGACTATTGTGATAGCTAGAACTAGAAGGGTTAATGAGCAGGTTATAACAAAGAAATGCTTTTTGAAGATATTTGAAATAAAACTTATGAAACTGGATTTTGTCTGTCTGGAGTATAACCCACAAGAATTATATATAACTTGTATATTAATCTTAAAACAGCATGACTTTTAAAAAGCAGAACTAAAGGATATAACCACAGACTTAGCTAATTTTATAATCTTTTTCTGCTTAGAGACAGTAAAATGAACTTAAGTGAGAACATGTTAATCTCAGACCCCAAAGTAATGTAGTGTGATTTGCTTATTGGGTAAACCCAAGCTTGGGCAGTAATGTATTGCAATGATTTCTTACACCTTTTAACCCCATAGGATAACAGCTATAGAGTAACATTATGAATAGCTATATAACCAAAAAATTAGCATACAGAAGATATAAAAGAACACGCACGCTAAGTAACCCTTGGGAAGGACGGAACAGAAGGGTCATTGCTGTTCCATTCCCCTGGATCTCTCTTATTCCCTGTGTGAACGAAGACCAGGACCTGACTGAGGGCCCTCCTCTGGTTCTCCTTCTGACAGCGTAAATCGGAGACGCCTGATTTCGCTGAATCAACTTGACGTGTTTCTAACTGAGAGACTATCAGTAAGTTACTAACCAAGTGGGAACTCTTGGTTGATTTCTCTCTATCTGTTTTTATTATCACTGTCAATTTTAACTTGTATTGTTATGTTGTCTGTTTATTAGCTTAACTTTTTTACTAACTGTCATATGTGCAAACTATATCTTTTGTTGTTATAAGTAAAATTCATTCTTTTTCATAAGTGAAACTTGTTGTTGCTTTCCTTCCCAACATCTTCTCCTCAATCCCAAACCAAAAAGCCCAGTGGCTAATAAAGTTGCAGTGTTCAGTCAGTCTGCAACTAAATTGATATACTCACAGTGCCCAGGTGGCCTGTGGCAGACTATAAGCTTTGGGCTTTGTTAGACATTAATTTAAGGTCCTCAGGGAGCTCTTAAAACTTGCATTGTCCACACATTAAAACATGAAAGCTAGTTTAAAGCACTGTTCAGTCATCCAGGGTAGGTTTATCTGTGATCCACGTTACCCAGCTCATATTACATGAATGCGTGTCCGCTCCCCAGAGGTAAGGCAATCAAGTTTCAGTACCTGAGCATCCCAGGATGCAGTACCCCCTCCCTTGCTGTTTTTTTCTGTGTGGCCAAACTTTCTGCCTCCTGAGCGCTACTGACCAGGGGGTGGTACTGTAGCCAAGTCAACCCCACCTCCAAGACTCATGGGAGTGACCTTCCTACACCCAGGGAAACAACCATAGTGGCATCCCTTGATTCACTTATGGTCTCTACCACAGCTTACTGATAGGTCCTAAGAGGATTTAAGGGCCCAGTCCTCAGACTACAGATCCATCTGCAAAAGTTGCAGGTCTTTCTGCAGGGAAAAGTAGGTTGCCAGCTGGGATACCTTTCCTTTTCCTTCTTAGGCTATATATTCTCTGCTTCAAGAGCAAGTTTCTTTACCTCAAAACACATTTCATATCTGTAAAGGAGAGGGGACATGATGACTGCTTTGCAGACCTACTTTGAGAACCACAGTGACTGTCAAAATGTTTGAGTCCACTGCAGTCCACTGGTATGAAACTCCAGAGTATGGAGAGAGGGGGAGTCTGCCACCTGGGGACCACGTCTAGAAAGGCTGGAGAGGTGGGGCAGAGGTAACCTGCTGAGGTGTCAGCAGAGAAGCCAAGACCTCCTCACTTCTACACAGGCACCAGTCCATCCTTCACAGAGGTGGTATATCAATATAATTTTGCATTGCTAGCGAATCTGCAAATATCACAAGGCTGGGTGGAGTTGCAGATGCTTTGGAGGATAAAATTAGGATTCAGAATGACCTTGATAAGTGGTCTGAACTTAATCTAATGAAACTCAGTAAAGGCTAATGAAGAGTCATGCACTTAGAACAAACATGTGTACAAAAACGATTAGATCTTGGAGTCATTATTGATTCCAAGATGAACGTGGGCCGCCAATGCGAGGACACGGTCAGTAGGGCTAACCGCACCTTGTCGTGCATCCACATATGCATCTCAAGCAGGGCCAAGGAGGTGATCCTCCCCCTCTATGTGACAGTGGTCAGGCCACAGTTGGAGTACTGTGCCCAGTTCTGGGTGCCGCACTTCAGGAGGGATGTGGACAGCATGGAGAGGGTCCAGAGGAGGGCCACTCACATGATCGGGGGCAGCAGGGCAGACCATACGAGGAGAGGCTATGGGACCTGAACCTGTTCAGCCTTCAAAAGAGAAGGCTGAGAGGGGACCTGGTGTCCATCTATAAACTTACTAGTGGGGATCAGCGGGGAATGGGAGAGACTTTGTGCCCCCGAGCGCCTCTTGGAGTAACAAGGAATAACGACCATAAGTTGTTAGAAAGTAAGTTCAGACTAGACATTAGAAGGCACTACTTCACAGTCAGGGCGGCCAGAATCTGGAACCCACTTCCAAGGTAAGTAGTGCTGGCTCTTATTTTGGGTATCTTTAAGAGGAGGCTTGACGATTACCTGGCTGGGATCATTTGAGCCCAGTTTTATCTCCTGCCCACGGCAGGGGGTCAGACTAGAAGATCTGCAAGGTCCCTTCCAACCCTACATCTATGAATCTATGAATTAGACGAATTACTATCTAAACTGCAGGACTGTAGAAAAGGACTAAGGGGTTATGATGGATCATAAACTGAAAGCAAGCCAACAGTGTACAGTTGTTACAAAGCAAAAATGGTTGCAGAGTTGCACAGGGTGTTTATAAAGTCCTTGTGCAATTTTAAATTTTAATAACTTTGGATATACGCATGATAGAAGAAAACCGTCGGATGCAATTGAAAGCATAATTTTAGCATAGTGTAAGCTGTGCCTAGGGCAAGGATCATGCAATTTATGAAATCACTCATCAGCAACTGGAAAATGTTTTCTATGAATTGGGAAATCAAATTGAAAGATGTAGCATGAGAGACGGTGATTATGTTTAAGTCTATGTTGTATTGTGTTAAAACTTAAGGAAGTATGCTTTCAATTGCCATTGACAGTTTGCTTCTATCATGTGTACAGCCAAAGTTTTTAAAGTTGAAAAAGAACCTTATAAACACCCTGTATTACCAAAAATGTTGTTTATTAGTAAAGGAAAAGGATTCTTTCTTCCACTCTGTTCAGGGCCAGTGAGGTCTACCCTAGAGCAACGTGTTCAGCTTTGGACATTTAACTTACAGAAAGACTTGGAATAAATTAGAAAGAGCTCAGTGTAAAGCAACAAAAATTATTAGAGGCCTTGAAAATGCGACATATGAGAAAAGGTCAAAGAACTGTGATTAGTTAGCCTAGAGAAGAGAAAACAAGCTAATGATACAGATGGGAGCCAGATTTATGGCCATTATGAAATCTCCTCTGTATAACTGCACTTCAGGTATTTGAAGACAGAGAGGATTTAATAACATTTTGCAACTACCTGATGTACGGTTATAAAGGGGAGGGTGATAGATACCTCAGTGGCCACAGATTTAAGTAAAATATTAAAGACATCATTCTAACCTTGAGGTTATGCAATCTCTGTCTTTGAAAGTTTTTAAATGGAAGTTGGACAGGCACTTGTCTGGAAAAGTTTAGAAAGGGTTGATCCTGTCTTGAGTAGGAGGTTGAACAAGGTAATCCCTTGAGGTCCCTTAGGATTCAAAAGTTCTGTCTGGACTTTTTTTCCCACAGGGAAAAAAATAAACTTTTTTGAACAGCTTGGAATGAAAAGAAATGTCAAAACCATGCAATTTCCCTTAATCCATAGATTCTTTTTTTTTTTTTTGTAGCTTGCTCCATTCAAATGTGTGCTAATGCCTAAAGGAAGAGGCCTATCGTTCTGAAAGGTAGGGGTTTTCCATGAAGCTTAAGGAACGGTTGTTTCATTGATTTCTTGGGGCACAAGTCTCCTGTCAGTTTGTATGAAAACCCAAGCCATCGTTGCATGTAAGCCAGGTTTCCCTACTTGTACTTGATAGTCAGGGAAGATGCATACCTACCTTATTTTTTCCCTTTATTGGTTTCAGGCTGGTGAGTGCTGATAATAAAAGGGAAAAGGAGAACTGGTCACATAAAGGATGCAGGATCAGGGCCCTAAATATTACTGCTTGGATTCCTAAGATTTTATTTAAAAGTTTATAAGGCATTCGTCCAACTTGGCGCGTAATGGAATCTGAGTGAAAATGAGAAAGTGATGTCTGGAGAGGTACAACTTTTTTTCTGTCTTCATTATTACCCCTTTGAGGTTAGACCTTTGGTTCTGTTAACTTGATTGGTTTATTTATTGTTGTCCTTCTGAATAATTAAAAATTACCATCAAAATATTTTCCCTTCACATGGAAAGAATAAGTATTGACTCAGGAACAATTACTTTCATTTACTCCACTACAAGGGCAATGCACCGGTCGAAAAAAAACTGATGGATCTTAGCTGCCTCTTCATTAGTAGAAAAGAAATAGACTTTCTGGGAAGTGAAGGTGGACACAGCATGTTTCTTGATCTTGGTGATACTGCATGAAGAGGTGACCTCTTGGATTCCAGCTCCTAAAAGACTCGCCTTTGAGGTAAGACAGCTTTTGGCAGTTTTTTTTTAATAAAGAAAAAGGTTGAATTGCTCATCTTCACCTCTTAGTGATAGGATTGTTTGAGCCTTTCTAGCATTGAGAGAAGCATTTAGGAGCCTTTTTTTCCGTGTATGGGCAATGCCTTGTAAAACCAAGTCCTGATTGTTGATAAATCTTTCTCAGCAGCCCTGGAAAGCAAACCGAACAAGAATGGCAGTGAGCTGATATATGTGTAGTGCCTCGGTAAAGAAAATTGCGAAGAAAATGGTAGTCCTTATTACTGTGACTGGTTAAAAAGATAAATTTTCATTAAATCAAATCTTTCATTCCATCTACTTACTACAGCTTAGACAGTAATACCTCTAAGTGTTTTTGTGCATGTGTTTCTTCTAAGGGCATGACTCTTCATTGGCCTTTATTGAGTTTCATCAAATCTTCCAGTAATTGCATTATTGGAGCCTTTAAATGTTAAAAGTACTTCCATTGCATAAAAATAAATAAAATAGGTTTGTTTTCGCCTGAACAATTTAGTTTTGCTAGCAACAACATTAAAAAAAAGTGTAGAAAAAAGTGCCTTTTTTGAGAGAGAGGGAGAGAAAGACAAAGTTAAAGAGAATGAGAGAGTGGTTTAGATAGAAATAGAAATGATGTGTTCAAAGTTGCATCAAAAAGTCATCTCATCTATCCCTTTCCTCTGAGGCAGGACCAATATATCTAAATTGTCCCTGGTAGATCTTTAATTTGTTCTTAAAAACCTCCAGTGAAAGGGGTGCCAAGAGCTCCCAAGGTAAGCTGTTCTACTGCTCTACTTAGAAGTTTTGCCCTGGTACCTAAGCTACAGCTTCTTTAATACAATTAGACAAGTATTTCTTGTCCTGTCAGTAGTGGACACAGTGAACAACTGAACACTGTCATTTTTATAACAAATATTCATTTATTTGGAAACTGTTATGATATTAGAGGAACCCTGCTTTTTTTTTTTTCTAGAGAGGTTAACTCCGGCTCCTTCAAATTTCCCGCTTAGGTCATTGCTTCCAAACCTCTTAACATTAGTCTTGCCAACTTCTAGACTCTCTTAATTTTTTCTCTTTCTTAAACTCTGTTGCCCGAAACTGGACACAGTGCTTTAGCTAACAGAGTAGGATGATTGACTCCTGTATTTTATATGCACCGCTGTTGCCATTCCTGTTATTGAATCCCAGAATGAAATTTGTTGTTTTTTTTTTTACAACAAGATCACATTTGAATCATATGTTTTATGGTTCACTAAAATCGTTGTGTGCTTTCTGCTTCTGTTATTCCTTTTCTATTGATTTTTTTAATGCAACACAGAAAACAGAAATATGTTAAGTGTACATGGCAAGCTGTGAAATATGTATGCATTTCAATAATAAGTAATGAAGGAAATAGCAACAGTAAGTAATACAGAAATAAATAACAACAGTAATAATAAGTAATAATAAATAAATGATGACCAATATATTATAAAGAAGAAAAGAAAGAAAAAAGGAGGTAGGAAGAGGAAGAGACAGGAGAAAGAGAGAGAGGTGCACAAAGGCTAATAATTTAGTTACAATAATCTACAAAAAACTCTTTCCAAATGTTTTGAAGCAGTCAAGCCTGCTGAATTATCACTCTCTATAGATACTGGCATCACCATTTCATTGTACCATATTTGAACCATTAGAGAAGTCCTACTTTCCAAGATGGTAATCTAATCCTGCATGTCACTAAAAAGGCTCCCAATTCGTGTGCAATCTGGGAAGGATGTGGTTTGTCATTCCTTTTCTAAATCTGCGCGTCTCATTTTTCCTTCCTAACTCTGTTTGCCTTCTTGTAGAAAGCAAGTGTTTGACTTCCTGTGCAGGTACAGTAGTTGCTTGGTTGGAGGTAACAGCCGAGAGATTCAGTGGGCTACATTTGGTCTTTGCCCCACTGACACATTGGGATTTGCCCAGGTTTAAACAATTACATGAGTGATCTTATTTCCCCATGCAACATGCTCTGTACCCTAGTAGAGGAGGACTGAAATGTAAAATGTGCATGAGTGCAAAAAACTGCAGTTTAACAGCTATGGATGTACTGCTTAGGCTCGTACCACCTAAGGTGCAGACTTCAGGGATTTAGATACCCAAATCTATTTGAAATATCCTGAAATTAGACAACTTACATCCTGTCTGCTAGCTATGAAATCCTGACCACAGGGTAGGTCATTATCAGGTAATTATCAATAGTGGACTCCTCATTATTGTTTTCTTCCTGTTGGAGGGAGTGCTACCTACAAGAATAAAATTAAAAAAAAGAAAGAATGGTAAAGATGATAGAAGAGTGTTCCTGGATAGCTAGGTGATTTTTCAAACATGGAAAAACACAGATCACCGGTTTCTACAGAGTAAAAACATTAGGCCGCATGGGTGCTTGGGATCTCATAGCCTGTTTCAGGGTCATAAGGAGAGGTAGAAGAAGAAGGTATAATATTAAGTAGAGGGGATGACATAAATTTACTTTTATGTTTGAACCTTTTTTTGGTGTTTTTTTTCCCCCCGACAGATAAAGACCATGGCAGGCCCCAAACAAGGAAACCAAACATATGTCACAGAATTTGTCTTCCTGGGATTTGGTGAACTCCATGACTTCCAGAGCCTTCTCTTCCTGCTCTTCCTCATGATCTACATTTTGACCTTGGTAGGAAACATTGTCATTCTTGCCCTAGTTGTCACTGAGCACCGCCTTCACACCCCCATGTACTTCTTCCTGGGGAATTTATCCTTCTTGGAGATCTGCTACACCTCCACCATCCTGCCCAGGATGTTGGTTAGTTTGCTTAACAAAGAAAATGGGATTTCATTAAGCGGTTGCTTCTTTCAGTTTTATGCTTTCGGTTCCTTTGCATGTTCCGAGTGTTATCTTTTATCTGCCATGTCCTATGATCGGTTCTTAGCAATATGCAAACCACTGCATTATGGAGCTTTGATGAACAACAAGTTCTGTATCCAGCTAGCAGCATGGACTTGGGTAAGTGGATTTGTGGCGAATGCTTTTACATCATTCTTGGCATCACAGCTGACTTTCTGTGGGCCCAACAAAATTGACCATTTCTTCTGTGATTACACACCATTGCTAGTGCTGTCCTGCAGTGACACCCACACAACAGAGACAGTTATGTCCATCATTGCCACTGTGTGCACGGTGCCTCCCTTTCTGCTCACCGTGACATCCTATATTTGTATCATTGCCACCATCCTGAAAATCCCTTCTACCACCGGGAGGAAAAAAGCTTTTTCTACCTGTTCCTCACACCTTGTTGTGGTTACAATATTCTATGGGGCTTTGATGACTGTCTATCTGTTACCCAAAAATGATATATTAAAAGATGTAAACAAGTTGCTCTCTATTTTTTACACTGTCTTGACCCCTTTGTTAAATCCCCTTATATACAGCCTGAGAAATAAGGATTTTAGGGCAGCCCTGAGTAACTCAGTCAGTAAACGTGTGCCTTTACTGAGAATTCAAAGAATCCAAACTCTTTTTTAATACTGAAACAGAAGCAACAAATAAATAAAAACTCATCAGCATGATGTTTAAATGATCTGCATCATGTGTATTTCTTTCTATTTTATGACTATAATACTGATCAGTATGTAACCCTTGGCACGTGACACTACCCACGGTTGTGTCCAGATGTTTGGGATGTATCTGCCAGGTACATTTACCCCTGCTCAGCTCACCAAGGAGTGGCCAGAGGGTCCCTGAGAGGAGGGGCTCCCTTTCACAATGGAGAAATCTTTCAGACTCAAGAGTAACTATTTACAGAAATTTAATTATATACAGAAAGTAATTTCTATATGCAAGCAAATATTAAATACTATCAAAAGTTTGCAATACTCTACTTATAATACACAAAGTTGGGTTCATACAAAAAAAGGACAGTTGATAACTATTTACACTTAAGGGGTAGTCAAGATAACAAATGCTGAAACAATAACTTATGCACTATGTTAAATACTCATTGTATTAATCCCCTATACAACTAATAGCCAGGCACTCTGACTATTGCCCAATGGATGGAGGGTGGTGCAGTCCCCCATTCCTCTCATCACACACTCATGGGCTCCAGCCACCTCGGGCTGTCCCATGCAGGTCCAGGTGTCTCGCACTCTGCAGAGGCTGTGTCCACTCCAGACCCCCGGAAAATACACATTCCTCTGCACACACCTCCATGCACTCCTCTCTGCCTGTGCATGGCCTCTCCAAGCCCACAGAGCTATTACACAGTTGAGCCACAGAGGGAGAGCAAATTGCCACTGCAAACCAGGCAGCACTTCTGGGCTTACTTTTCCCTTCAGGCACCCAGGCACACTGAGCATTTGTACACGCCACAAGATTTGCCATTTACACCGCTGCATTTCTGTTTGCACGATCGGGATTTCCCACTGCTTTAAAAGTCTTTTTGGCACATTAAACTGAAGGTGCTCGGACATATTTTAGTTTGTGTCACCGCTGCTTACGTCTATGGATTTGTGTCATGCAAGCAAAACCACTCAAAGACATGTAACGAGCCTCTTTCTCCATCAGATGGTGCTTTGAACTGGCACAACACAGCAGCCCCATCTCAGGCCGGGTGCTACAAACCTCCCCTCCTCTTCCCACCAACCTGCAGTGGGGCCAGACATACGCTGCTGCCTGCAAGATACAGAGCCACCGCGCTCCAGCCTGGTTAGGACAGGATCAGCTGGGGCCCCTCTGGCAGAGCTGGGGGCCCCCTGTGCTACATCCATGTGGGTAAAATTTCCTTCTCTGGTTCATTTTCAATACGGCCGCCACTAGGTAGAACCACAGTTCCCAAAACACCGACTGGTAGCCATGTTGGGGCAGGGGGCTGTGGGTTGGGAGTTTGGGGCATCAGCAGAGCTTGCGGGGTCACGGGGCTGTGGATCAGGATTGTGTGTGTGTTCCTAGAAATCTCTCCAGTCTCTGGGTGGGACAGGGGATGGGGGCGAGGGGGAGAAAATCTCAGTCTCTCTTGAGATGGAGTTTGGCTTGAAAAAGGCAATAATTAATTTCTCTCTTTAAAATGTCTGAAACCATAGGCCATGGGATGAGGTAGACCACCTGGGCTATGGCCCAACCAACTTTTAGCATGTTAATTTATATAACCCACAAATGCGCAATTGTCATTCTGGTTAAAACTGTGTAGCTATTTCTTTAACTGCATAGCTAGCTAAATTAATGTGCTAAAAGTTGATTGGGCCATGGCCCGGGCAGCCACACAATTCCACAGCCTGTGTCTGAAGCAACTGTGACCACCTGAAACCTGAGCATGCTCCTGTCTTTGTTCAAACTAATTTGTAGGGCCGTGTGAAGCTTCAGTCCCTGATTCAATTTGGCAGAGATTCGGCCTAATTTGGTGGCTGAATCTCCCAATCTGAATTGAATCAGAGGACCCTTTAATCTCTCCAAATTGAATCAGAGAGATTCGGAAAGATTCGGCATTTTGGACATAGACATGGCTTTAAATGATTTTTCTGCATACCTCTAGGTAGCAGGTGGCTCGTGAATGTTGTGATGCTGGGGTACATGGAGTGTCTCACAGAAGCGTGGGGGGCTCACCAGCGCACTCAGCAGCAGACCCCAAAGTGGACCAGAAGCACTTCCAGTCCGCTTCTGGGTTCATCGGGGAATGCACATGGGAGGCCCCCCCGGCTCGGCGACTGGTGCCTCCTGGGTTGGGGGGAGCACCCAGGGTCCCCCTGTGGCTGATCGCTGATTCCCGAGCTGGGGGTGCGGGGAGGCCCCCTGCACATTGCCCTGTGGACCTGGAGATGGACTGAAAGTACATCCTTCTGGGTTCACCACTGAGAGGGGGGGGGGCCTTAGTCCTGTGGGATGCTCCATCTGCCCCAGCATCACAGCGTTCATGAGCCGCAGCTGGTACCTCAAGGTATGTAGAAAAAACATTTAAAGCTGTGTCTATGTCTGAATCGCTGATTCTCTGAATAAGCTTCGAATCTTCAGATTCGGATTTGGCCAAATCGAATCAGGGAGAGTGATCCGCATCAACAAATCGAATCACTGTCCCCGTTTCGGGCTGAATCCAAATCCGAATTGAATAGGGCACACCCCTACTAATTTGCATCATCACAGCCTCACAAGAGAGCTGGAAGACTTTATCAGCTAAGAACTGCCTTGCCCAGGAGGAGCTTTCCATCCACTGACTCCTCTATGAAATCCTATGAAACATGAACTTTCACTTCTACCCAGAACTTTAACAATCTTTTCTCCAATGCCGGATAAATCCCGAAAGCTTGCAATTTATTTATTTATTTTGCAAAAATCTTGGTGGCCTAATAAAAGATGTCAGTTCTACTATGAGCCGTGGTAGCTTTTAGCATGGCTTTTGTTCTGGATTACTATCTTCTGTCACATTGTTCACATGAAGAAGTTACCCTGCCTTCCTGCCAGGATTAAAAAATAAAAGCAACATTAGCACTAGGGGCATCAATGCAGTGGTTACTACTCAACTACCTTTATTTTCTTTTGAAACAGTATGACAAGCTGTGGGAAAATGCAAGGGTTTACCATCCTAACAGTATGACATTAGAGGATGACGTAGAGGCCTACATTGAATCATTTGAGAGAACGGCGATCCAAGCTGGGGTAGACCAGTTGCAATGGGCCAGTCAGCTCTGGTCCCTAGTAGTGGGCAAGGCACAGGCCGCTTATAGGGCCTTGCCACAGGAAGAGGCTTACAATTACAAAAAAGTTAAGGCAGCGATATTACAGTGGTTGGAACTCACCCTAGACCACTACCGCAGGCTGTTCCGGGCCCCCAAGAGCAAGGAAGACTGTAGGCCCCGGAACTTGATGCAGCTACTGAAAGATCTTTTGGATAAATAGATGTTACCAGGAAAGGTTGATCAAGCGGCCTTAGCTGACCAGATCCTACTGGAACAATTCGTGAAGGATCTGGATGAGAACACCCAGCTATGGGTCTGCCAACATCTTCCTTGGATGTCCACAGAAGCCTTAAGGGTTGCAGAGGCATTCGTCACCTCAGAAGGGGAACCACTATGAGAAAAGAACTACTGAAGTACAGGGGCAACTCCTAAGAGGGAGGATGAGCTCCAGCGGGGGCCTGTACGCTATAGTAGACGAGGGATCATATGTTACCAGTATGGTAAGATGGGGCACGTGTCTTGGAAATGTGCTTTAGGGGCCCCAGAGAAGTGGAGACCCACGGGAGAGGCAATAGGGGTGAAAGAGCACCATGAGGCCCATGAACAGGTTGAAGAAATGGACTGCAGCTTTGGGCGGTGCCAAGAAGTAGAGGGATGGGACCGCCCGATGGTGACACCATAGGTGGCAAGCAAACCACTACGAGCTACACTGGACACAGGCTGCTCCCAAACTCTGATACGGGCTGGGGCAATTCCCCAGAGTGTCACTGAATGGTGCCCTCTGGTCTGGATGCGCTGCACACATGGCAAAACCGAAAAATATGAAAGGGATTTTGTGAACATGAGGATTGCTGGCCACAAGGGCCAATTACGCATCAGCCTGGCCCCACAACTGGATGGTCAGATGATTGTCAGAAGGGATTGGCTGCCCCTCTATGAAGTGCCTCTATGAAGTAGTAGAAGAAGTGCCTACAGAAGAATTAAGACAGGGCAGATGGCCCCCAGGGGAAGGCTGGATAGCCGAAGAAGATTTGGATGTGACCAATGAGGAGGAGTCGTTTATCCTCAGGACAAGTGCCGAAGACATGCACTTTTGTACAGCCCAAGAGCAGGACAGTGAACTACAAAGGATCCAGGAGACGGAGGTGGCTCGGGTGGAAAAAGAGACCATACGGCCAGAGATGGATGTAAGTAACGCTTATTTTTGGATACAACAGGGTTTGTTATACCAGGTGGCAAAGTGCCCAGTCCAGGGGGAGTGGACCCAGTAGTTAGTCATCTCTGGGAGACTCCGTGAAAGGTATGGAGGTTGGCACACACCAGCCTAGTGGGGGGCCACCTCTGGGCAGACAAGACAGTGTCCAGAGTGGGGCAGTGGTTCTTTTGGCCAGGGATGAGGAACGACATCATGTGGCAATGTGAGGCCTGCCCAGAGTGCCAGAGGGCACCACCCCTGCACCATGCAGCTCACGGCCTCCATGATCTCGGTTGCTGTATGGAACTCATCCATCACCTCTTCTTGAAGGAGAACCCACCAACAGCCTGACTGATTGCACCAGTGCCCTGTGAGGGAGAGGTAGGTCTCCATCCTCCATGATCTCCAGCCCAGCTGCTCCAGATGTCTGAGGTGAAGGGTAAGGCCACCTATGGACTTTCTTGGTGCAGCTCCTCCCTCAAGTACTCCTTGCAATCCTCATACAGGGAGGGCATCACTGCCCTGCTGAAGGTGATGGGTGTGGGCATGCAGTATGATGGGGCCATGATCTCCATGAGCCACCTGAACCCTGGGTGCTCAACTAAGGAGAAAGGCTGGCCATCCAGAGCAAACATCTCCTCAGTGCTCTGGGTGAACTTCCT